ACACACACACACACACACACACACACACATACACACACACACACACACACACACACACACCCGGGTGTGTGCGTGCGTGCGTGCGTGCGTGTGGATATAATAAAAATTCAAGTAATTACATGTGTTGGTAAGACGCTTATTACAAGTGCTAGAACTTCATTTCTGCGTAAATCTGTAGTTATTGGAATTCGATTAAAAGTGTGAAAATTATATCTGCTTTATTCATTTTACTGTTCGTAGAGAAAAAAAAACACTTACTAAATTCAGTTTTGATGATAATATTGCACGTATATAAATTTCTATTCTATTTGGACGTTTGCTGAGGCAAAGCTACGTAGAACGCAAGTTTTCCTTTCTAAAATTACCTATCTATTATCAAACATCACTCGATGTATTATAAATAACAACAGAGATATTTGAATGTAAAAGATAGATGATCATAGTCTGGCACTGTAGCAAGCTTCGCAATGTACCGCTCTATAGCTATTCGCTGGGCGGCTCCACCATTCACGTATTACACTATTGTGTCTATATATCACAATATCACTATTGAGTCTGTGCATTCGCTACTCTGTGATCTCATCATGTTAATGGCGGCCATGTTTGTTTTCGCGCGCGCGTAGAGGAGAAACAGAACGACCTTCACTCCGCACCAGCTAGCTGAGCTGGAGGGCATGTTCGCGCGCACACAGTACCCGGATGTGTTCCTCAGGGAGCAGCTCGCCATGCAGATAGACCTGACCGAAGCTCGTATACAGGTGCGAATTACCTGCCCAGGTGCAACATTCATGCATATCTACCTTATACAGATGCGAATTACCTGCCCAAGTGTGATATTCATGCCTATCTACCTTATACAGGTGCGATATTCATGCCTATCTACATTATACAGGTGTGATATTCATGCCTATCTACCTTATACAGGTGCGATATTCATGCCTATCTACCTTATACAGGTGTGATATTCATGCCTATCTACATTATACAGGTGTGATATTCATGCCTATCTACCTTATACAGGTGCGATATTCATGCCTATCTACCTTATACAGGTGTGATATTCATGCCTATCTACCTTATACAGGTGTGATATTCATGCCTATCTACCGTATGCAGGTGCGATTTACTTGCCCAGGTGCGATATTCATGCCTAACTCTACCTTATGCAGGTGCGATTTACCTGCCCAGGTGAGATATTCATGCCTATCTACCGTATGCAGGTGCGATTTACTTGCCCAGGTGCAATATTCATGCCTAACTACCGTATGCAGGTGCGAATTACCTGCCTATGTGCAATATTCATGCTTATCTACCTCATGCATGTGCGATTTACCTGCCCAGGTGCGATATTCATGCCTATCTACCGTATGCAGGTGCGATTTACTTGCCCAGGTGCGATATTCATGCCTAACTACCGTATGCAGGTGCGATTTACTTGCCCAGGTGCGATATTCATGCCTAACTCTACCTTATGCAGGTGCGATTTACCTGCCCAGGTGAGATATTCATGCCTATCTACCGTATGCAGGTGCGATTTACTTGCCCAGGTGCAATATTCATGCCTAACTACCGTATGCAGGTGCGAATTACTTGCCCAGGTGCAATATTCATGCCTAACTCTACCTTATACTGGTGCGAATCACATTTCGAGGTGTGATATACTTCCTTGCCTTATACAGGTGTAGATTATCTGTCTACTTTACATAAGTTTGAGATAATACCTACCTCATACAGATACAAAATACCTACCCAGGTGTTGCATACTTGCTTATCTTGCACAGGTGTGAATTATCCGCCTAGTTTACGTAAGTTCGGAATAAAACATACCTCATACAGATACAAAATACCTACCCAGGTGTTGCATACTTGCTTAATACCTTAAGCAAGTGTAAATTTCCTACCAACCTCATGCAGGTGCAAACTATCTACTCACCTTATGCAAGTGTGAGTTACCTGATTATATATGCTACCTCTGCCTAACTTATACAAGTGCGAACTACTTTTAGCCTCACACCGCAAACGTTCGAATGGAATCACGCGGCGGAAAAGTCACGCCCTCTAGCGGGGATTGCGTCGCGGCTTAACCCCGCGCTGAGTACCTCACCAACAGATAGCCTACTCAACTTCAACATTCCAGGTTTGGTTTCAAAATCGACGGGCCAAGTGGCGCAAGCAGGTGCGCCTGAAGGTGGGCCGTAACTTCTGGCGCGTGCGCACGTTTCCGTTCAGCGGCCCGCAGGCGTGGTTCGGGGCTGGGCCGCAGCCACCACCCGTGGCGCCATCTGCCGCCGCCCCGCAGCTGCTGTACAGCGACGCACTGCGCATGGCGCATAGGTGAGTGGGGCGAACAATGGAGCGCGTGCGGTGGGCGGGTGGGTAGTGTGCTAGCGTGATTATAATGGCCGACAGAGAGCCTGTAGAGATGTCATGCGCGCATAGGTTATTCTGCAGGGCATCTGTAGAGATGTAATGTGGTCTGCGGCAGCGATGGACTGTCGTATATAAATAAAT